AATAACAATAGCAACAAAATAGTCATTATTATTAAAGTAGCAATTAAAGAAAAGTAACATGAAGGATTTTATACTAATTTCAATTATGCTAGATTTAAAAAAAAAAAAAAGTTATCCCTTTGAAAAGTTATCTCTTTGAATGATGTTGGCTTTACTTGGCTTTGCCCTAGCAAAAGGATTCTATGAGATACTCAAAATATTGAAAATACTTCTCCATTTTCAACAACACTCTTTTACTACATCATGTTCTCCAAAATATTAGAGTTCTTTGCTTTCAAAACCCATTTGTGGAAACTGACTTGAAGGAAGACATCAGTTTTCGCTTTAGACAGGTATTCTCTTCTGAGATGCATGGAGGCACCCATTTGCCAACATGACCCACTCTTTAGGGAGATCTGCTGCTTCCCAAGGGCTTGTATCAAGGAGGTCAAAGAAAGACTACCAAACCTTGTATGTCCCACTATTATCAGCTCCTGCTGTTTCACATAGGCACCAGTGATACATCCAAGAGCAAGCCAAAAAACATAAAAAAGGATTACAGAGCCCTGGGAGCAGCAGTGAAGGACTCCGGAGCACAGACAGTCTTATCATCCATCCTCCTGGACAAAGAGAAGGGGCTTGAAAGGGCAAATTGTATTGGGAAAATCAATAAATGGTTACAGGAGTGGTGCCACATCCAGGGATTTGGCGTCTTAGACCATGGAACATTTGCCAATTTAGTAAAGAGGGCTTGAAACTAGAGTTGCTGGGGGAGGGAATCCTCAATGCATCCCACTACCATCACCCTGAGGCCAGTGGCAGTAATAAATGCCCTGTAGAAGGATCACATGGCAGCAGGAGAACATCTGACATGAAGGAGAACATAATCCCAGCCAGGAAGGCAGCTTCAGTGGGGACCCAATTTATATGCCTTCATGGAAATGCACATAGCATGGGAAACAAACAAGAGGATTTACAGATGTACATTCCTGCAGGGCTATGATGTTATTGGCATCACTGAGATGTAGTGGGATGACTCCTACAACTGAAAAAGGAAAATGGATGGGTACAAGCTCTTTAGGAAGGACAGGCAGGAGAGGAGTGGGTGTCACCCTCTATATTAATGATCAGTTGGATTCCATGGAGCTCTGACTGGGAATGCAAGAGGAGCTGATTGAGACAGTTTTATTTATTAGTCAAAGGCTTTGTCCTGGATGAAAAACACATCTAGAATACAGGTTTCAAGCAGAACTTTGCAACTTTCTGTAGGACTTTATTGAATGTACACCATATCACATTTTTCTCAGTAACTGTAATCAAACATAAACATAGCTAAAGAAGTTTACAATGATAATTGATTTCTACTTCAAATAACACAAGCTCCTTAAAAGACCAACATTCCAAATAATCTGTATTGTGTATTTCAAATTACACATCTGATTTACAATAATGTCAAGATCTTAGATGCAGTAATTACATGCTGGCAGCTCCACTATGACTATCAAGATGAACTATAAAAAGAGAGTTCTTATTTTGCACAAATGTTTGCAAGGCAAAGCAGCTATATTTGGAAGGGCATATAAATTCTGCTGTTCCATAGGAATTTAGGGGTTGAGGAGTCTTCTGCCTGATAATTTGATATCTGCCTGATATAGGAAGTATTTTCATCAGTCCTGCTCGTGAAAGGGAAGGGGATATAGATAGGGCCAATGGCGTCCAACAAATCAACGACTGGCTACGTGACTGGTGCTACGTCCAGGGGTTTGGCTATCTGGATCATGGAACCAGATATGACAAACCTAGTCTGCTGGAGGCTGATGAGATCCACCTGTCAGAAAAGGAGATCATCCTCGGCCATAGGCTAGCCAAACTGGTGAACAGGGCTTTAAACTGATGTGGCTGGTGTCATGTAAAAAGGGCAGCGTTTGCCTGCCTCGGAGTCCCAAAGAGGACTTCCACTGAGGCAGCTTCAAAAAGTTGCTGCTTCAGAGTCCCACCAAAAGGGCTTTCACTGAGGCAATTTAAATCAAAGATGAATTATTCATACAACAGTAATAACAAGTTCTGGATAGTCGTTGATAAATTCACCAGCTGCATGGATTTGAGGTGAAGATAGTAAAGATAAAATAAAAAACATCCAACAGAGTCAGAGCTGCAAGTCTTACCAAAAGGTGTCTCCTTTTGGGGGAGAAGAGAGGATTTGACCAGTCCAGATAGCTGTTGATCTCTTCCTCCAAAGAAACAGAGGATTCTAAGAGTAATTGATAGTAATTGATGAGATGGGACTAGGTCATAAATAATTTTCTGACTGGAACCTTTGCAGGCTCTTATTACATATTAATTAAGAGAGGAGAGGGGAAAAGGACCAGTGTCGCTCTTTTTGTGAATTCCTTAGGTGTCATTGTCTCCATTGTTTTGGCTTATTGCTACAATTCCAGGCCACAGAGTCTTCACCCTGTTCCAGAAGTCGTGCTAATTGCCACTCATCAAATTTGCAGTCAAGATGCACAAGCCAGGTACCAGAGTTTTACCTTGGCTGATACCTTGGCTGACACAATGGTCTGTTCCTGCTGCCCCTGCTCCTTATCTGATATAAAAACTACAGTGATTTAACCTGCTGTCTTTTGCAAGGCAGACCCTCTGGGGGTGGGAGGTGGGGTAGGCAGGCTGGCAGGACTGCATTCTTTTTGTTAGGTTTAACAGAAGGGTCTGTCCTGTTGTCCCACAGCTGAGGGGAGGGAACCTCCATTCATCCCACACACCAATTTCAATGTGATGCTGGCACCAGTAGTAGATGCCCAGAGCCTATAGAAAGGATGCAGGTGAGCAGGGGAGCACCTGGAGTGTGGCATTTCAGCTCCTCCAGCTAGTCAATTACCTTCACTGGAGGCCCAGCTTAAATGCATCTATGCAAAAGCACAGCACGGGGAATACACAGGAGGACATGGAGATGTGTGTGTTCCTGCAGGGCTATGATCTTATTGGCATCACGGAGACCTGGTGGGATGGGTCCTACAACTGGAGTGTCAGAATGGAGGGTTATAAACTTGTTAGGAAGGACAGGCAGGGGAGACAGGTGGGGGTGTTGTCTTCCTCTGTGTCAAAGACCAGCTGGAGTGTATGGAGCTCTCCCTGGGGACAGATAAGGAGCCAACTAAGAGTTTAAGGGTTAAAATTAAATGGGAGGGCAGGGAGAGGGAACATTACAGTGAGGATCTGCTACAGGCTGCCTGACCAGGAGGACAGCATAGACAAGGCACTCTACAGATGTAGGGCAGCTTCAAGTTCATAAGCTTTGATACTCATGGGGGATTTCGACCACCCTGATATCTGCTGGAGGGACAACTCTGCAAAGCACAAACAATCCAGGAGGTTTCTAGAGTGCGTGAATGACAACTTACTTCTCCAAGTAATTGAGGAATCAACAAGGAGGGGTGCTGTGCTAGTCCTTGTTCTCACCAACATAAAGGGTTGATGAGGGATGCAAAGCACAAAGGCAGCCTTGGTTGTACCAACCATGAAATGGTGGAGTTCAAGATCCTTAGGGCAGCAATGAGGGCTCACAGCAAGCTTACTACCCCGAACTTCAGGAGGGCAGATTTCAGCCTCTTCAGGCATCTGCTTGAGAGTGTCATGGGATAACATCCTGGAGGGAAGAGGGGCCCATGACATCTGGCAACTTTGCTGATGATACCAAGTTGTGTGGAGTAGTTGACACCCTAGAGGGAAAGGATGCCATCCAGAGGGACTTTAACAGGCTAGAGAGGTGGACCAGTGCCAACCTCATGAAGTTCAATAAGGCTGGGTGCAAGGTCCTGCACCTGGGTTGGCACAACCCCAGACACAAATACAGGCTGGGGGGAGAATGGCTAGAGGGCAGTCCGGAGGAGAAGGAAATGGGGGTGGTAGTAGATGAGAAACTCAACATGAGCCACCAGTGTGTGCTGGAGCCCAGAGATCCAAATATATCCTGGGCTGCATCAAAAGAAGAGTGACCAGCAGGGCCAGGGAGGTGATTCTGACCCTCTGCTCTGCTCTGGTGAGACCCCATCTGGATGGAGTACTGTGTACAGTTCTGGGGTCCTCAGCACAGGAAAGACATGGAGCTGTTGGAGAGGGTCCAGAGAAGGGCCACCAAGATGATCAAAGGGTTGGAGCACCTCTGCTACGAAGAAAGGCTGAGAGTCAGGGCTGTTCAGCCTGGAGAAAAGAAGGCTCCAGGGAGACCTTATAGCAGCCTTCCAGTACTTGAAAGGGGCCTATAGGAAAGCTGGGGAGGGGCTTTTCACCAGCAAAGGCAGTGATAAGACAGAGCGTAATGGTTCTAAACTGAAAGAGGGTATATTTAGGTTAGACATCAGGAAGAAATTCTTCATCATGAGGGTAGTAAGGTGCTGGAATAGGTTGCCTGGGGAGGTTGTGGAAATCCCCTCCCTGGAGGTGTTTAAGACCAGGTTGGATGAGGCTTTGTGCAGCCTGGTCTAGTGTGAGGTGTCCCTGCTCAAAGCAGAAAGGTTACATTCTGATGATCTTTCAGGTCCCTTCCAACCTTAACCATTCTGTTGATTCTATGCTTAAGATGAGAGGAACACATTTATTACAGTGTTTATAGCAGTATTTTTTAAAATTAAAATGTGACAAAGACATAGCTAAAGTCCCCCAACAAGAATATTACCACACAGACAAAACGTTCCAAGCTACATGGGTATACACAGAAAGAGCCATTGCTCTAAAAATTTAGGATTTACAAAGCACATCAACAACATTCTACTTTTTAAATAATGAGGTTACAAAACATGGAGTTATATTGACCGGTTAAGATAAAATTATTTTATCTTCAGAAGTTTATTTTGATCTGTGTAATACAATTAAGGTATTGATGAAAAAGTACATTTCTTTAAAGCCGAGGAAATGGTATTAATCAATAATTCAGTTAACTTAGTTAACTTCAGTTAACTTTGACTAAGAATTATGTTCTTGTACCAGTAAGAATAGGCACAGCTATTAAAAGTTCATTTGCATTAGCTTGATTTGTCACTGCTATGCAAAAAGGATGCCATCACTGGAATCTGAGCAAAGAAGGTTTTTGCCCAGATATGCTTATATTTTATTCTGTGAATAAATGCTGCTTCATAAGTCTGAAAGGAAAAAAGAAATCCAAATCCCATTAGATACAATTAAATACCTAGAATTCTACATGTTGCTTCATATTTTAGACAATGTAGTCACCCTTTAATAAACTAAGCCAAATAATTTATTTATATATGATACACAATGAAAACATTTTGTAGTTCTAGACATGCTATGTTATGGCCCAATAATGAAGATTACTAATCATTCCTTGTAAAATATTAGTCACCTTTTAAAAACAGAAAAAATTCTGGCCTTTTACCTCTTAAAAATAAAACTTAAGTATTTCTTTTCAGGTAAGAACATTTGAATTTACCTCTTAAAATTAAAAAATGCAGTTCTTAAAAATCAACATTGGCAAGGTGGTGACTATAGGAAATTTCATTTATAAGAATTAATTATTTACAAATAATCATGGCAGCAAGCATTTTGCAGCATTTCAGCCAGGCTTCTCATTTAGTGGTGACATTTTACTAAATTTCTAGTTAGTAGTAGTTCAGATGATGTAATAAATTACCAGAACATTTAGTTGAAAAAGCTATTTGCTATCACTATAGTCATAGTTATGAATACCTGCTATTAAACAAAGTGCTTGAGAAGCCTTTTTTTTTGTTTCAGTGGATGAGAAACAATGAGTCAGCTTACAGCATTCTATCTTTACCTCATTTTCCTTAATTCACACTCGTAAATACCTTAAGAATTTTGGGTAGGCTTGCATACTTCACATTTTCCTCTTCTGGCCTAATTCCTATCTCCAGTGAAGCTCTGGACCTACTCAAGTTAATGGCATCTTACTATGACATCCAGACTTAAGAAGTTAAACCAGGTATGTGCATAATCCGAATATTTGCCTACCATAATGCTAGTAACATAAAAGCATGGATGGAGAGAAGCATCACTGGATTCAGATTGTGTGAGATAGAGGAGTTGATAAAGGAATTTCCAGCTTGAAACTGATTTTACCATTTAAAGCTAATGCTCACATAAACACATATCTGCTTGAAGATGCAAGTTGGGCACACACACACAAATATAATGGATGGCAGAATTCCCTTTACATTTAGAATTTCCTGTCTGATACATTTTGTCCCCAAAGGAAACCTTTCATTAAGAGAGTAATTCATTTGCTCTCTCAGTTCAGTTGTCACATATTCATAGGACTTTAAAAAAAGAAGGGCAATGCATAACAGCTGAAGTTGCATGTGATGCACACATATTGTGTTAGAAATTGAATTCATAACACCCTGAACAAAAGGACACTGTATAACAATGATCTTAGAGCACTGCTTCCATAAATCAATAACCTGGAGGTGAAAGGCTTAGTAATACATTACTAATTGCAGGACAAACACAGCTCGCAGAATTCTCCCATGCCTTAGAAAACTATTTCTGAGACTACAATGCTTAGATACAAAATTTGGGGGGAGAGTTGTAAAAACACAGTTTCAATGACTTCTTTACCAAATTCTTAAGTTTTGTAACCCAGAACAGCAACTATGTTTTAACTGGTTAATTGCAAACTACAAGATTGCATTGCCACGGGTACTTAAAACATCTCTACATAAGAAAGTAAATGGAGACAAATTTTACTATGACAAATGGTTAAGTTCTAGACAAAGAGCCATTCTGTTATTTGATAAGAAAATTATAAGGCCACAAACTAATGAGGCCAGAGCATATGCAAGAGCACAGATACACAATTGTCACAGTATTTATGGTTAGTCCTTAGCATGTTTTTCATCCAGGCCAGCTCTTATCTGATCACAGCCAAGGGAAAAGCATAGGCATGGTACTATTCTCAGTAGGCAGCATGGATGAGGCCACTGAGCTTCTGCATTTCAGGAGGGAGAATAAGGGCGACACAGTATTTAGGTACATGGATATGAGCTATACTATGCCAACTGCTCTCTAGACTAGTGCCTGTTTTATTTAATAGTACCTGTGCAATCATTTAGTCACAGTGGGCCAATTTAAACATGGATGAGCATAAAGACTAAATTTGGGAAAACATCGTGAGTCACAGGATTCTATTAAAACATAATATAAATATTGTAACAAATTAAACGACATCAGATTTTACCTCCTGAAGGTTATGCAGCTTAAGGTGTGCCTCTGCCTCATCTTCAGTGAGGAGAATAGTGTTCCACGGGGACCACTCATGCTGCTTATCCCATCTGACCATAACCAAATCATCATCGTAGGCACTGAGAGCTGACTGACAGCCCCATATGTTCTCAATCAGATACTGCAGATCGTGAAGCTGAAATGAAAAATGGTTAAGAAGGAAGAAGCATGTTTCATTCCACAACTGCATCTGTAATAATCCAAACAATGCTTTAAGTGAAAAAGTTTTCTATACATATGTCATATAATCACTTGATTAAATGATGTCCGGGCATGCACATGTTCCTTTAGCATGGTATGGCTATTAACTGCATTTTTCTTGTATCACCTCTAAAATATTACATTCTTACTTTGATTGTCTCAGCCAGTGGCAATTCATACCTTCCCTTTAGATCCTGATTGACTAAATGCTCTTATAAAGTTTCTTATACCTTATATTTCTCTTGTAGCATATTTAAGCCTGCTCAGACCTTCCTGGTTAATAACAATAATCCATCTCCGTCATTACTGAGATGACTACACAATTTCGTTCTTGGGTTCTGAACTAATGTTATTCAGTAAATAAGTTATTACACTGATAAATAACTTAAGGTTACATATAATCAGAATAATCTGGCCTGGAAAATATGTGGAATTAGGACAAGAAAAGCTCCCACCTGTGACAGGCCTCAAATCACTGCCTGTTTGGCTTTGTTTCTCTCAATCTGCTGTTGACAAACAGTTTATTGTGCTCATGATGGTGTTTCTCATTTTACCAAATGAGATTATAAGATCAAGTAGCTATACTCCAATATTAACCAAAAATAATAGAAGGTCTGTTTGTAAACATTCTGTAGTACAGAAAGGACTTTAAATGTACTTTTAACCTATACCTAAGGTTAATTTACATCAATCTTAATTTAATTATTACTAGTCATTTGAAATCACTACTACATCTTGATAAACACAGCTTCTTGAATTAAAAAAAAAAAATTGGGATGGCAGTTACTACTGATATTTAGTAAGTTTTTCTGTCACCCTCCATTAATTCTTCTCTGTATCATGGAAAATTATAAAAGATTTTTATCTACACGTGTCTGTAAACAACACTAAATACATTTTCCTCCAAGCTAGCCATTTGAAGAAGGTTGATTCCTCTAAAAAGAAATCTTTACTTAATTAAATAATGGTGTTTGCCTGTCACTAAGTTTCTAATAAAGGATGAATGAAACTATTAATTAATAAAACATTTTCCTGGGCTGCATCAAAAGAAGAAAATGACCTGCAGCTCTACTCTGCTCTCATGAGACCACATCTGGAGTACTGTGTCCAGTTCTGGAGCCTCAACACAAGAAGGACATGGAGTTGGAGTGAGTCCAGAGGAGGGCAACAAAGATGAACTGAGGGCTGGAGCACCTCTCTTCTGAAGACAGGCTGAGACAGACGGGGTTGTTCAGTCTGGAGAGAAGGCAGCTCCAGGGAGACCTTATAGCACCTTCCAGTACCTGATGTGGGACTACAAGGAAGCTGGGGAGGGATTTTACAAGGGCTTGTAGTGATAGGACAAGGAGTAATGAATTAAAACTGGAAGAGGGGAGATTTAGGTTAGATGTTAGAAAGAAATTATTTAGTATGAGGGTGGTGAGACATTGGAACAGGTTTGCCAGGGATGTTTTGGATGCCCCCTCCCTGGAAGTGTTCAAGGCCAGGCTGGATGGGGCTTTGAGCAACCTGATCTAGGTAGGAGGTGTCTCTGCCTATGCAGGGGGGTTGGAACTAGATGATCTTTAAGGTCCCTTCCAACCCAAACTATTATTCTATATAAGTTTATCACTACAGTGCTTTAGTGAAATGCAACCTCTGTATTCTCATCCAACTTGCTTCCAAAATCCAGGAGCCCATGCAAATTCTTGACAGGAAAACTGTAAGATATAAACTGGGCTTAAAACCTCCACTGCTAGTAAGTCTGTGCCTCGTGATTCCAGGAACACAGGACTGCTCCTACATTTGGTTGTAAATCTGCTCTTACATGGCATCCTTTATTAGGTTGCATGTATTGGTTTGTGTTTTCAATAATTCCTCCTTTTCACAAAATTTCAAAGAACACCTGTATCCTCTTAGAATCCAGAAATTTGCAAGCAGACACATTAGCAAGTACTACTGTTTTTATGCTAAGCTACACATCTTGAAAGTTACCAGAACTTGCAAAAAACTATACAGAGGCATATGGGCCCATGTAAAGAAGATCCATAATTCTACTCTTCCTTTTTCCTGAATTACAATTTTATTTTATTTTTTTTCTGCCTTAAAAATATACAAAACCTTGTTCAATGTTCAAGCTTAGCTGGGTCTGGGGAAGAGTTTGATTTAAGAGACAACTTCTGCACTTTCTAAAGTTAGTTTAGATGCCTTTTGCTGTGACATTTTACAGTTAATTCATTTTGAATGATGCTTCCCTTCCACCCCCTAATAATTTGTTCTACACCCACAAGAAACAGAAAAGGTCTTCAGCACTGTTGTCTAATAAGCTGTGAGCAAGTATCATTGAAGGCTCAGAAGCTGAGACTGGGAAACACAGGTAGGCAGAAAACCAACAAAGGAGATAAGTGCATTTGTAACTTCAAACTAATACAGGATTCCTATTAGGATGTTGCTCATCAAGAAAAATCAAAGTCATAGTAGGTACAATTGATTCTAAAGCACATAGCATAGTCAACACCCCCAAAAAAGTACAAGACAGAATCAGGGCTTGACACATTTGCTGAACTAGTTTATTTTGATCCCAAAAAGCTCTTTTGCTGCTGTAAGCAGCATTTAGTAGGGCTACTGTAATTCTCACCTATTGCTTTTTGTCTTTTAAACCTTAGCAGCACTAACAGAGGTGGTCACCCCAAACACAGTTAGAAGCAGTATGCAACACATCTGAAGAAAAATCTTCTATCTTCTCACAAAAATCTTGTATCTACCCACAGACAATACAATCAGAGCCAATAATGGTACTGCACTGAGCAATTAATCAAGCTGTCATAGCTGCTGCAAGAGCCTTTTTGTTGCACTCAAGTAATTTCAAGATGCCCCAGAGCTGTTTCCTGGATGTAAGTGAAATAGGGGACGGAAAGTTGTTGGGAGAAAAAAAATGAATATGGGAATTTTAGGAAAAACCCAAGGAAATCAGTAACTTAAGATACAAGCCTCTGTTGTTTAGATATTTACTCTGAAGAGAAGAACTTGAAGTTAATTTGGATGAAAATGACACAGTATCTAGACACGTTGCAGCGTTACAACCACAAAAGGAACTGCAAGTGAGGACTTCCAGTGTCTGCAGTTCAAAAGCAGTTATGTTTCAGTGCATCAATGGCCACCAGCCATCAGAGGTGATGTGAGAGAGGTCCAGTGGGTTTGGAGGATGTTTATGTATTAAGATAAACTAAGGTAGACACAGGAAAAAATCTTTTCCACTTAAGTGAAAACTAATATTGATTAATATCTACAAAATCCAGGTTCTTTGATAATATTTCTTAACACAGGCATGATAATTAAAGAATTCTAATCTTCCTTTTGGCAGCTGCCATTGGCAAAGTGCTAAACCACAGCATGCCTTGTTTTGGTAGCAGTGGGATATTAATGACTGGCTTTAGTTTGCTCGGTGGTTGTTTCAGATATACTGAAAATACAGTTCAAAAATTATTTTTAATGTTGATGCTGTAGAGAATTTTATTTTTAAATCTAAGAAAGTTCAAACTAATTGTGGCTGTTCAATACTTTCAATAAACAACTTTGCAATTATCTCAGAATTAAAACTTTTCAAGTGGATACTGGATGTCAAGATTATTTTTTGACAAAATAAAAACTAAACTAAAAACTAAATAAAAACTAAAAGTGAGAATTTGCTGAAGACAGAGGCAAGAAGGTCTTTGAACTGAATTGTTCCAGTAATTACTATTAAGAAACATTAGCTACTTAGCAATACTGCAAAAAGATTACAGATGATTACAGATGATGGTAAAAATTTAGAAAATTAAAATATTTAGTGAATCCTTTTCCTGATAAATGCAAAACAGTAATACTTTCAACTGTACAGATATTCTACTGATGTAGAACAGGAATGTCAACACCTCAACTTCTCTGATTTTCTTCCTTCTGAGAACACAAAATAATGTAGTTGTTTTAATAAAATAGTCCAAACTAATGGAGCTCAAAATGTTTTCTAGCATTATATCTTGAACAATATTATAGCCACAAAACATGATTGTTGCTTTACAGATGATGCCAGTATTTTTAAGCAACAGGATCGCCATAGCAGAACCAGAAGAATTCAGGTCACCTGATTCTTTGGCCTGTCAGCTAGACTTCTACTTATTTTAATACACAGCTTGTAACCACTTTCCAAAGTACAGCTATACTTCAAGAGCTTAAGTGCTTCTTCTTTATGGTATGGAACAACCCATGTGACAGGAATAAGTTTTTGTAGCTTTAGCCTATTTCTCCACCTGTCAACAAGACATACAAAATGAAGGAAAAATTATAATCCAAGCAACCAGTTTTCATTATTAGCAATGATCTTTCAGACAGTACCTGAACTAAGAAAACAACTTTAGAATCATCCTCGTAATCAGCTTCAGACTTTCTGAGATTTCTTAGGATAAGTCTGTACTTCAAAAATGCTTTTCGCTGGTGAGCCTCATTTTCAAGCTTGCAACACAAGTAACATTTGCCAATAGTGTGGGAATTAGCAGGAATAGGAAACTCAGTAGATGGTAAGTAATTTTCACAGCTATTACAGAAGTGAACATTTTTATAAAGCTTTAAAGGATCTGATGGAACCTAAAAGATTAAAAAAAAAAAAGAAGTTAATTTACCACAAAGTATCTTTGTATTACTTGTGTATCACCCTAAGTCTATTGGAATACATTTTACATATATTCAGGCAAGTATTTTAATATGAAAAACCTAGTAATGTTTATTTTAAAATACCCAATACATTGTTGGGGGTTTTTTAATAGAAGATCAAAAGCCATTCTATTTTCTTACTGTAGTTGATAAAACCAGTTATACAAATCAGTCAATTAATTGTTAAGCTATAAAAAAGATACTAGACATTACACTCCAGTGGTGTTGCTGGTGATTTTATGTATGCTGACTGTCAGCCATTCTGGAAAGATGACAACACAGAGAAAAGAGAAACTAATTATTCTACATTTAATTTTTAATATAAAATCTGCCCTTCGTATCAAAGATAGAACTCTGAGATTATAAGCATATTAATATTTTGTCAGAAGAATATAAAATCATCAGAACCACATGTCCAAAAACAATATAGAGGAAGATAATAATCTAAATTTGCTAATTACCTCCTCAACCTCTTATTGCTTCATGGGCTCAGCATAGAATTTAATGTATTCTGGGGAGAGGGCCCAAGTCTGTAATTAGGTAGTTTGAGTAGTCAGCTACTTATTGTGGTCATCTGCCTTTTTTTAAAAGCACCCTGAGCATTTGGTTGTTTTGACTGTCTATTAATGAACTGCCATCTTTTTTATGGTCTACAGAAGGTTACATGATTCAAATAACCAGTTAACCAAAAGCTAGAGAAGACAACCAGCTCCAGTTTCTGCTGGGATCCATCTAGGTAACTGTTCATAAACCTAGTGTAAAATAAGTCCTAAATGGTTCTAAATCCCACTAACATTTACTGACAGATTCTCTACTGCTAAGATACCATCAACCTCTGTAAGAGGAATCGTCATCTGGCAGATGCAGAATACATACTACTGCCTAAAGCAGAAATATATGACAGTGAATCAAATTTTAATCATAGTCTGTAGTCAGAAAAAAAACCAAAACACAAAACCAAAAGCAATCACACAACTTGAAGTGTCACCACTATCTCCATAGCTATATCTGCTTCTCATGAAGCAGCAACTGGTTGTACAAAAGAAGCTCATAACAGCTCCTGCTTAGGTGCAAGCTCATTAGACATCACTTTGACAATGGCAATGTTGTTCTTTTCTGGACACATGGGATGCTGCCTCTTGTCCAGTGCGAAAAAGATAATTATTCTCTCTGTTTGTTCTCCATTTGCTATAACAATTTACTGTTGCCACATTATACCACTATAATTTTCAGTTCTCAAGTTTTTCCTTTCATACATAATGTCCCTGTGTGTTCTCTGTGCCACCAGCCATACCCATGTCTAGGCCACATGCTTCCTACATAACTAAATAAACTTATTTGTGTGAAGCCTGTGTACTTGCTGCATTTTACTTCTTGAGGAACTCCTCCAGAAATTCCACAGCAAAATAAAAAATAAAAAAAGCTTTCATTGTTTTTCATTCCCCTTCTCCATCACACTTAGTTTGGTAGCCACTATGTCAGACTGCAAAATAGGAGAAATACCTTAAGTATCTTAGCAACTTGAGGGTTAAACTTTGGAGTTTTAAAATACTGAAGAAATAACGTACAAATTCTTTTCCTCAGTCCATCTAAATTGCGATCTTTCACCTTTCGTGACATAAGATCAACTTCCCTGTCAATTAATTCCACTATTTCCTGTGTTAATTTACATTCATGTTCCTGAAAGAAAACACAATTAAAAAGGAAAGCACACTCCACAACAATAAGGAACCAAGCAACAATATAACACAGATATAGAAGCAAACTATGGATTCTTTGCCAACCATCATTCAGCATGCTCATGTAAGAACATGTTCATGTAAGAACTTTTGAGTGTCTCAGGAAGACAACCTCCAAGAAAACTAGTGGAAAGAACTAAAAACTCAGAATGCATACAGAGCCTGCTTTAAGGGGCCTGTATATATAACAAAGCTGTGAGGTACTGTGAACATGGAGGCACTAAAAAATGCTAAGCCAAGGCACAGAACACATGCCTCTGTCTCCAAAAGCACCAAGAAATATCTCCATAAGAAAATTTCTTTGGCTCTGTGATAGGACTTGTAATGTATATACACAGTAGATATTTTTGGTTTTTAACCAAAAAACATAAACAAAAAATAAAACACCACCAAAAAAAAACCCCTCAACTACCCAAAAAAATAACCACCACACAAAAGGCACAGAGGATTTAATAAGTATGTTTGGAATTAATAATTTCAGATTTTCAAATGCTTATCTAGAGATTATCCATGGGGTGGTAAAGGTGAATGAGTTCAGTGTTTTCTCACCCAAAACAGTGTGTTTATTTACAGAAATTCTATCATTTGTTCATTCCAGCAATATTAACTTGCCTTAAGATGGGCAGAAGTCTATAAACCAGCAATGCTCCCAACACTATAATCGGCTTTAGATCAAATTCTGGTACTACCAAAGCAAACAGCAAGATGATAGTTTATTTTAATATGACCAGTAAGCAGCATTCTATTCTAGTTGGACATTAAAAGTATCATCCTGAAAGTACCTTGAAGCTAGTGTTATTCTTCGTGTACATTAATAAATAAATACATAAAACAAATCTGAATGACTGAAAGTAATGCAGCCAGCTTCTAAGTCACTGGGAACACTGGCAGCAACAGTGAGGGTGAGGGGGGAAAGGAAAAAAAAAAAATCAAATCAGTATTTGCCAGTCATAGAATCATAGAATCCTAGGGGTTGGAAGGGACCTTGAAAGATCATCTAGTCCAACACCAACAGATAAGATGCTAAACAGACATTTCAAAGAACTGAGGAAAAAGAAAAGTAATAGCCACTTACATCTCTGCAATGGTTTTCATCAAGTTGTGAGCACTAAACTAAATTTTGTGCTAAAATTATATTATGTATTAATATACAAAAATCCCTAAAACTATGGGGTTAAAATTCTAACACAACTTGAAGAAAAATGTGCACATAGCAAAGTGAAATATGAATTTAGAGTTTATCTAGAATGTAAATTACACTGACATGCCAGGTGGCACACTAAGCTTTCTCTTGCTGCCACCTGATCATCCTGGCACCTGTTTGCCAAAAGAAGCATTGCTTATGTGTCAACAGAATTAAGTCACTGTATCTTTGGGAAGTACAGGTTCAAGCTAAACATAAATAGAAAAATAAAACATACCTTGACTGCACCTCTGAGTGTTAACAGTACATTTGTTCTCTCATCTTCTGGGATGCCACTCATGCTAACGTTACGGTAGAGTTCAAATAGCTCTCTGGCATGGATTGTGTACTGTGTATCCATTTCAGTGATTTTTCCATCAAATGCTTTCCACCTCTTTGGTTGTGAACACTTCAGAAACAATTTGTGTAAGTCTGAGCTATTATAATCTGATCACCAGCTGAACAAGTGCATTAGGTTTTATCAAGTTTCACTAGAGCAAATAGGGACTTAATATTAATGCTTGAGTAACACAAAAGGCTAATTCTACTGTGGATATTTATACAGTACCTTTTCCTCCAGAGCAGGTATCCAATCACCCTTTGTTTAAAGTTGCAAATAATTAAAATTTTTACTTACAGTATATTAAAAGTAAATAATATTCTCCTACAGGGATACGCTCTACTTCTTTAAAGCTAATTTACTGATATGGTGTTGTAACACATTTGCTCTGTACTTAATCTTGCAGTCATAAATCCCTCAAAACTATCAGAATAAATCAATGGGACTGTTGACTATGTAAAGATAGCAAATTTAAGGCTTCAGAGTCTACTGCAGGACAAAGTATCTCCAGGGAACTGTTATATTTATGCTGGCTATACAGATAGATAGAAGGCATAGACTTCGTTAAAGCTGACTAAGGCCAAGCATGAGATTGCAGCTTATCAGATACTTCAGCTGGCTTCTTGTTGCCAACTTAACTGCTTACCATATGCCTACTACTTCAGTTGTCTCTTTAACTTCTATAGGTAGTGAGAAGTTGCATGGTGTCAGCTGCCACACTCAGTTTGAAAAGTTCAAGCATTCTCTTACTTACAGAGGACTGGTTTTGGTTGCAAACCACACTGTTATACAGGGTGCTAGTTCACTGTGGAAATGGGTATCTAAATACAATAGAAAGATGGTATTCCAAATCCTCTTCCCATCATTACATGACTCCACTCCCTTTCCTTAATTGGGACAGCTATTTGGAATTTCATTCTGTCTATTAAGTATTCTCTTTCACTGTATTTGGAACTTGGAAGTTCACGAACACTCGTGAACTTCACTTTGCAATCATGATGAGAGTTAACAACAGCAACACGTCATGCAGCATTCACATGATGAACTGGGTATGACCCCAGCACTGATGTGACTGGTTACTGGATATGACCCCAGCATTGATGTAATCATTATTTTAACCAAATATACAGGCTTGCTATGCTGATAAGTCATAAAAATACCAAGAATATTAGACAGTTAGATATGATTAATCACCATTGCCACCAAAACAGAGCTTTCCACAATTTTAAATAAATAAATTATAAAGTTAGGTAAGCAAGACAAAATAATTGAAAAAAGGATTTAACACTGAATAACTGACATTTAATAACATTATCAGTGGGGGGAAACTAATTAAAGGAGGTGTTTTTAATCAGAAGTCATAATTCAGATCCAAAACTCATTAAGAAATGCATTAACAAAGCCAGACATTAGTAAAAAATGGAATTCTTAATTCTTAAGTGAAATCTTTTAACTTTTTTAAAACCAGAGATATTATTTTCTCTCTGTCATAATAAAAAGGGAGCATTCTGCTGTAATGTCATGACTTTGTTTGGTACAGTACCAGAAATTAATTTAAAGCAAACCAAACCACAAAACAAAGCAAATAAACAAGAAAAACAAAACCAAAACCCAACAACAAAAAAATCTCCACGAACTTAGAACCCGTATCATGCTGCAATTCCTTTGTATGGCAGACTGGCAGAAATCAGTACCTACATTTGATCCTGTCCAATGAAATTACTTATGAAACAGAAAGTTCTGAGAATTAAAATTAGGGGTTTTCTGATAAATTTGCACAACCTATATATGAGGTAGCAGTCTTGGTATTCCACTCTGCAAAATGATCCTTAACAGAGACCAACTATATAATGTCTAAATTATTCAAAGCAAGATACCACATCTGTAACTTATGGAATATTTCTTACTACTTCATCGTAACTGGATATTATATAAAATAACTTGAAAAGAAAGAAATTATGCTTCTTTCTATGGAAAAAGAAAAAAGAGAATTCATCAATATGAAGATTTCCAGCATTTCAGAAAAGATCACCAGTTCTCCAATGTCAGGACTAATTAATATATTCAAGATTGATGCAAGGAAAATAAAACTTACAGACTTTTAGCACTGTTTGTCCTTCAGTTAGTCAAGAGCTAAGAAATTCTCAGCTTGGAAAAAGAAATACACTGAATTGTGTTGACATGAACAACTGTGTAGTTTGGATATTTGAAACAGCATTCAAATTATTAACAGTTTAAGCTAGGAAAGTTTTGGCAGGTTGCTTGCAGATGTCTTTTCTGTTCCTGTACTTCAGTATTCTTTATATTCAGCCTAAAATTACATTACTGACCTTATTCAGAAAGCGAAATATTGCTTTTTGTTGATTCTCCTCATCTGCAATTAGTTTCTCTCTACCAAAGAGAGCAATCAGCTGTTCCTCTTCTTCAAATAGTCCACAAAGTGCTGCCTTTCTTTCAGCTCCAGTAAGGGCTCTGTTAATCCGTTCAATCTCCTCCTGCCTCCATACTACAGATACAAATATGTTGGGTGTTTTTACGTTTTCCACTGAAATGTCTAATTTCATGTTTAAGAAATAACATAATTTAAAATATTAATTAAAAGCCAGTTTCTATGTTATGGAATTGATTGTTATGCATATTTGCAATACATAGAAAATGGCCTGGAAATTTATGTAAATTATACAGATGTTCTGTGAGAGTATGAGTGCCTACATCAATTCCAAACATCAATTCCAAACATCAATTCCAAACATCAATTCCAAACATCAATTCCAAACATCAATTCCAAACATCAATTCCAATGCCAATTTGTACTCCAAACTCAGAGATGGCTTAGGAAAAAAAGGAGCTTTATGAGAGAGAAATAATGTAGCTCCTGTGCGAACGTGTTGAAATGATTTCTTCACAATTTTGCATCTAAAATAACTAAACTAACTGTGTCTCAAAGAGCTCCGAAAGGTATGAGCAATAGGAACTGTCTGAGCAACTGCTCATCAAAGGCACAAGAAAAGATACCATGGAGATTCTCTCAACAGATTAAGGATGGCATCTTATTGTGGTACCATTACTACACAATGCTGAGCATTTACTGCACAAACGAGTAAAATCTAAAGAGGTTTTAAGTCCTCCAAACTTGAGATAATACCTGACTGACAGCCACATCTAGCACTCCAGGTCTTACACTGAGTATTTCAGTGATATTATCTTTTGCCATCAAACGCAGATGGATGTGTATTAATAATCAGAAAGTCATTGCTTTACTCTCCCACTCCTCATCTACAACAAAGCCCTTAAAGTGGAGGAAGAGTCATGCAAACCACAGGAGTGCAATGACAGCAGCCTGTGAATCAGTACAGGCTGTACAAGGATCTGGCCTTATGACTTTATGGTCAAATCATCAAATCGCAGGTCCCTGCTGCACTTGTAAGTTCAACCACTTAATGACAGAAACATACAGATAGATGTATATGTACATGTCTATCGTGGTTTATTCCATAGTACCCAGTTTTTTACTATTACTGCTGATATACAGGCTACATGCCTTTACAGAAATCTGTTAGGAAAATCAAACTGGGTTTACTGAATAGTGTTTTCCTTTGTATACATGTAACAATCCTGGGCCTATCTGAAGAATCTGCTTCCATTTCAAATACCACTGGAGGTTTTTGAGGAATTTTTTTTAAGATCCAAAACTTCCAACATTCCTGAATAATGTCTCCAAGTGTTCTTATTGTTTCAGAACAGTTATGCAAAAGTGAGACCCAGCGTAAAGGAAAACAATCCAACATGCGATGCACACTTACTGAAAAAGCCTGTAACATCCTGTACCAGGTAAGATTAGAGGCAAAGAAGGGAAAAAGGAAGGTTTATTTTCTGCCTGTGGATTCCTTCTACAATACCTTTTGTTTTCCATTTTAAAATACTTCAATTCATTTCCTTAAGGTTCTCCAAGCTTCGGTATTAATATGACAGCTGTCTGACAAGTTCTAAGTACCCAAGATACACTTTTCAATAAAGCTATGACAGCAAACAAAAACTCTGTATAGAATTAATTGACATGAAGGTTTGTATGCCTGAAGGGGGCAGCAACTTCAAAGGCAGAGTTAATAAATACAGTAAGCAATTTTGTACTTACAGAAATGAAGCTGTCAGTTATCATCAATACTCACCTCCTGATTCACCATATACATGCAACCAAGTTAAAAACACTCTTAGATTATCTTTTCTATAGGTAGAGATTTTACTCATTACAGTTTTCATCCTAGTTTTTATAAACATAGCTCATACTTTTCAAATAAGTAATGTCACTGAATACTGATACACCCCATTTGCACCATACAGTCAACAAGTGAGTTTTTGTACCAACAGGAATTGCTTGTACTGGCTGACCCTGCAATAGTATCCCCTGTTGTGATCAGCAGCAATAACCTTTCCAGATCTCTGGAGGACAATAGTCTCATTCTATTACTGTCACAATGATTTAGCTTGTGTAGACTGTTGACACTGTAAGAATGTAAAAGTAGCTTCAGATGCAGGTAGAAAAAAACGTGCCTAGAACCACTAAGCTCTCAGAATAAAGAGCATGACTGCAAGTCCCCATGTAGATAAGCAACAAGTCAACAACAATAAACAAAAACAACAAAAAGATTTATACTAGAACGTTAAAAACAATATATATGTTAAAAAGACATTTCAAATAGTGGACTTTGCTCTGTTCCAGTGTAGAAGTGGCACATGCTTTTCAGGTTGCCTAGATATTAAATTCCTGAACATGAACAGCTGAAAGGTTTCTTACTTGTGAATTCAATGACATTAAATTAAGCAAAAGAGACACTTATATAAGTTTTAAATCTAAAAATACTGGGAACATCAGCACTCATTCACAGCTTTAACTCAGCTTTGTTTATTCTATTGCAAATAAGACTCTTCACACTTTAAAAAAAAAAAAAAAAAAAAGTGTATCATATATCTGATACCACATTAGCCAGGAAGCAGTTTTTAAAAGAAAATGTTACAGGAAATCAGGTGCCAAATAGTAGTACTTGCAATAAGAGGAGAGGAAAAAAATTATTGAGTACTTCGGCTTTACCTATTCAGACACAGATATAAAGGACGTGATTCTTGTGAAGAAAAAAGCTAACTATCTATGAAGAAAAAGGGAGGGTGGGAGAAACAACCCCTAAGAGACCACAAATCTCATTACAATACCATTCCCAGAATTCTTAAGTTTAAGACCAGTAATAATTTTTACATTTGCCACAAATTTATAAGTCATTTCTACATTCAGACAGAGTGTTTTGTTCAATGCCACACAAAGTATGACAGTATTAAAAGATTAGCATATGACTTGGGAATTATTGAATCATGATCCCAAGTTCTATGAATAACTCATGCCATCAAATTTATGCTCTGTTTACCATGGAAGAAATAGCTAAGATAGTTTAAGGTAGGCCAGGTGGCTTTGCAATGAAGCAGGTAACACACCAGGTCAGTTCTACTTCAGGGACAACAATGTCCAAACTGCCAGAGTTTTACCGTAAGCAAGCACTCCAGCCTAGATAACATATAAGCTGTTACAAGATGATACAAGACTAACACAAATGTTGCAGATTCATTGTATGCTGGTACAAGTCCTCTTTTTTCTGTTAGTTTCATTTTTCCAATAGAACATACTCAGTGGTTTTTGTTACACTTGTAAATCTTTACAGGTGAGTAATATTGCATCACATATCTGCAGTATTCACCTTATTTTTTCAGGGAAGTTTAGAGGTGTTTGCCTGTACTAGATATCCACTCAAACAAGAGAAGTAAGTTTTTAAAGATGTGCCATAGGACTCATAAGAGATTAATTTTTTTTAAAATTTGACAACACTTTTTTGTGAAACATGGAATAAATTAGAAAGGAAAAAAAGTACCAGTAAAAGAAGACTAGGACAAAAGAAATAACCTCAGTCATATTTTGCAGAATTCTGGGCAAAAATGTAATTCTTTATAAAAAATGTCTAGATTAAGTGACAATGGATCTTAAGACTAATTTCTTCATTGCATTATTTTCAGCACCTTGAATGTAGAATAAAAAGATTAAAGTAACTCTGATTAAAAAAAAACATTTCCTGTTCCTCTAGCTGCCCTTAACATTAGAGTTTAATTAAAAAATAGAACAATAAGCCTGCCAAACAGCACTATTTTACAAGCTGATTGTTTCCTAAAATGTTGTGTACTAGTTTCAGCTGGGATAATCTTATTCATAGTATCTTGTATGGTGCTCTGTTTTGGATGTTGAGAAAACAGCAATGTTTTTGTTCTTGTTGTACAGTGCTTACACAGCATCAAGGCATTTTTTCTGCTTCTAGTCATCTCTGAAAGTCAAATACTTATTTAAAAATGAAAGAAATTCCACTAAGTAAAAAAAAAAATATATATAATCATGGAACTCTCTATAGAAAAATAAAAAACATAGGGTGTTTTTTTTAAACAAACTGGACTGTTTTGCTGATTAATAGAAATAAAAAACTTACATTCTAAATCATGGAAGAGTAGCTCAAAATCTTCTTTTGTTTTAGGGTTCATTTTTCGCTCGTACTCCCTTCTCAGTTTTTCCTCTTTCTCCTTTTTTTTCCGTAATTCTTCTTGTGCCTCCCATTCCAGCCTTAACCTCTTTCTTTCCCTCAGATCCTGTACTATATTTATAGAATGCCAACGGCGGAAATACTTCTGTAATACTATTACCTATATGTGATACAATACCAAAGAAGTGTGAATTTAAAACAAAACAGCATAATTTTTTGTTCTTAACTGTTATTTTTTCCTAGCTACTTAACTGTACTTTCTAAGATTTGTCTTGTGCTCATTCAAATTAAAATTTTACAAAACCAGTCGTACTATTAGTTTAAACACTAGTGTCCTTCCTTATCTAGATAACTGCAGGGGTTTAACCAGTGAGTACAGTGTAGAAAAGAGGTTCAAATAATCAAGCAATCAAGAAATTTGGAATACCTAAATGGCATCCTCTGCACAATTAATCTACAGAATCTGTCACTGGAATAGCTTGCATGAGGCAACTCAGTGCACCAGAAAACCCCACAGACCCACTGCATGTGTTTGAACAACTAGGTTGTATCTTAACGCCAAAGCAGGTAGCATAAACACAATCCAAAATGGATCAGTGTACCAAAGGTAACCTACCAAGTCTGTTAACACAAACAAACAACCCCAGAAAACACAAAATCCAAAAGTTGAATGCAAGTCTCCTAAACCTAATCCAATACTCCATCCATTTGAGGCCATGCATTAAGCATGTCACTTAGGTCCTCCCAAAGACATCATGAGAATATCTCTGGGACAAGTCCTGCAATCTTTTAATCCCCAGAGCTTTATATGGAAGCTTAACTGTCACTGTAAGATAGAAAACAGTAAAATCTTAATAGTTAAGAAATCACAAGGTCTCAAATGTTGCTAAAAACATGAGCTAAAAACATGCTAACAACAGAGCAAATACCTCCCCCATATCTGAAAGATTATGAAATGCAAACATTAAGAGACAATTTGCAGTTCACTTCTAAATTCACTCTTTGAACACTCTAAACACTCATGATATAGAGATAACCTTTGTAATACTTTGTGTTACAGATTGTTTCAAAAAGATAAGAACTTACGGCCTCAAGTCGACGTTTATGGTATTCTTCTGCTGTAAAATACTTTCCAGGACTTAGTGATTTGTCAGTCACAGTTGATACATACAGGCCAATTTTAGTCATCTGTGTTGATGTTGTATTTGGTGTTTGTTGTGGCTTATTTTTTTCAAAAACTGTCTGGAGAAAAAGTGCAAGTCAGGTTATAACCAACTATAGAGGGTGTTTTCCCTCATTACTGTAAGTGGCAAAATTAGCTATTTGTAACAAAAATCACAAGACTAAGGATACCCACCCACTAAGTATTTCAATTGCACACTTACTTCTGATGTACTTCCTCATTCCTATTGGAAAAAAATTGCATCAATGTTGCATTCAATTTGTCAAAAAATACATTCTAAAAAGACACTGCAGAGCCATTACCTGTGTTTCTCTACAGAATATCTGAAATCCTTTGTCAGGTAGCTTTTTCGGTATCGTTTGCGATCCTGCATTATGAAATTCAGCTCCTGTTACCCTGTTCTTAAATCCACCCAGAAATGGTTTCTTATAGGTAGGTCTTCCAATTTTTATAGCTAAATCTTTAAATGAATCAGAATCTGTTAAAAGGGAAATGCCAAGATAGAAATATTGTTTCTTTTAATAACAGGTTGAGATTAGAGCACAATCATATATGTCCATACACATGTGAAAAGACCATTTACCTATTTTCACTCTGACAGTTATG